GAAAATCCTAATTCAAATGATTTCTCACTGTCGATTTTTATTATTTCTGGTTTATTTGTCACATTATAAGCAATACATTATTTTTGTTCGACTTTTAGTGTTGCATATTGTTCATTTATTTCCGTTGCATGTTTTAATTTGCCGTTCTATCCCCTGCCGCAGTTCGAACTGCGTGTTGTCAATTTTCGGTTTTTTTGCCGGGGATTCCTGGCAAACGCCCACCCCTTCTTTTTGGCAATTTTCCATGTTCAAGACCCTGGGCTTATACCCGGATAAATACGGTATATTGAAAACTGCCAATAATACTAAATTTAGATTTTGGAATAACTGATCATTGTTTGGCAAAAAGTAATTAGGATTTATTACCTCCCTTCCAACTCATGAAATGCTGAACTCTAAGCTGTTTCGCATAAAATAACTCAGAAATTGTGCATACACATACCTGACTTAGAAAGGAATGCACCGCCTGTTTGTCTGTCAAACTGATGACTGCTAAACCACGCTTTTCATATAAATCAACCTATAAAAGAACGCAAACACTGTTATTACCAGAAGACTGGTTAGAACCCCAAATCTACCCCGTCACTTACAAGGTTTTCAGATACCCTGGTAAGCAGACAAAATGTTGAACACTGACCCGTATTGAAAAATTCATAAGGTTTATTGAAGGAATTTATTATCACTCAATAAGTCTTTCGCAAATTACAGCAAATATTATGATACATGTACAACGATTTTTCACACGCAATAACAGAAATAAGAACTTCATACAAAAAGAATGCAGAGATATAATTTTATTTACAGTGAACGCCAAAAAAACCTGCTATACTTCCAACCACATTTGTAATCCACCATTTAATTTTTCTTGACAGTAGGAAGATACATGTGATATTTATATAATATTGACTCAAAAACATCAATGATTATCATTAACTTAATTTTGTTTATTTTACCATTTTAGCTATATAAACTGTACTACTTTTAACATATCAATATGATTCAGGTAGAATTCAACATTCTGACACGACAAAATAAAGTAGTTCCACAAAAAGTCACTGAAACACCATATGTTATGGGGTGGTGAAATGCCACATGTACCACCGAAACTCTACGCACAGCAGTGAAACATCATACGTAAACTGAAGCGGCATATGTGGTACCACAACTCCACATGCAACACTGAAGCAGCATACAGAGTGCCTCATATGGAATGCTTCCAGGTTTATAACAATTGCAATACTTACAAATTCTACATTCTGTCTAAAATTTTCTGGTAGTACTTTCCAAATCTCGTCATCCTCCATGTCTTTTGGCAGCCCTGTCATAATTATAGTGTTGTCAAGATAAACACTGTGTTGAGCTGTCCAATCAGTCGTCTAGAAATAGTAAAGGAAATATACAACATTTTAGTCGTTTATTCAATTAACCTTTGCACCACCAGTTTTCTCTTTTCATCACAAATTCACAAAATAGTCCCGTTTATAGTCTGCACTTTCCTTCAGAAGATTAGGGCAAAAATAGCCACAATTTTTGAGTAAAAATATAAAATTTACTCAATTTTCAGAAATATAAGAAAAAAATGCAGAAAAATTTGGGCCAGAAAGTCTGGTGGTGAAAAGGTTAACAGACGGCCATGCAAGTAGAGAGGTCTACCTGAGGTACCTGTATAGTATCAAAGCGATCACACAATTGGTTTTTAACAAGAAGTTGAAAATATCACTTTTTACCAAAAATGACAAAAATATTTATCAAAATCAGAGATTTAAAGATATCATCATGAAATGAACAAATCTAAGAAAGGTCTGCCCAAGATACAAATAAACCAAGTATCAAAGCAATACGAATTGTAGTTTTCAAGAAGAAGTCGAAAAAGTAAAAAGTTGACACAGACGACGACAGCAGAAATCACTCATATGATAAGCTCCACTCGACAAAGTCGACAGCGAAGCTAAAAAAACCCTGATGCACACAAAGATTTTGGTTGCTTTAAATAGATATGACTGCCTAGTTCATGGTCGCTGGTGTACACACCTTATGCAATTCAAGTTCAAGTCACCTAGGTTCAGCACCTAATTGCAACTTGTGTTACAGTCCACTTTCTAGAATGATTTAGCTAGTTTAATTTAGTGAAGCATGCATTAATTGGTCAACAAATCCTATCAGAGAAGAGCTGCCAAATGTGATTTGCTCTAATTTGTATATAGGTTGCTGGTCAGATATAGTTTGAAGAGTGTAAGCCAGCGGCCTTTAACCAATAACTGAAGATTAAAAGCAACCAGACTTTTAACTACATTAGATTTTTTCTTATTTCAGATATGTTTAGAAAAGGTTGTTGTGAATTAAAAAATAGAAAATTCTTTGATTAACAGACTTTTTGATCATCAGTTACAATATTGCACAATGACACTTTTGAGCCATGATTATTAAAAAAAATAATTCATTTCACAATTATACTTTAGAATTAGAACTCACTAGAAAACCTTTGCTGACTGTGAGGTTCATCCCTTCAAGCGTTATTGGCTGGTTGAACACATCGATTTCTGGAAAGAACAAATAACAACTTTCAATGTAAATGTACTACAAATCTAGGAATTTTGAGAAAATTGTCTGTTGCCATAGTAACTAAGATGACAAACACATCAGGTGCCCTCATCCAGGTAAAAATTCTTGACGATATAATGATACACAGTATCTGTGATTACCCACAATCCTTTGTGGTTTGTAATGACATATATTGGTTGGTAAAAGTCACCAGTATACAGCCCTGTGTTGATATGATTCATTCATTCCAAAAGTTTCCTTTTTTTTTCCAAATTGCTGAATATTTGTTGTTTCAATAGAGAAGTGGCATTCTTTTTTTGTCAACAGTGTTAATAACATTAGTTACTTTATTAATAATTACTGTAAAATACTTTATTTTAGCTGAAAAGATTTTTTGGGTGTTTTGCATGGAATTTATTTCCACTGATTTCTGATGAGTTGAATGTAAAA